GAGGTCTCAGGATGTCTCAGGAGGTCTCTAGAGGCGTCTGCAGGCCTTCGAAGCCCTCGGAAACGACGACAACGAGGAGGAGGACGAGGACGAGGACGGGAGCGACGACGACGACGACGACAACGACGACAACGACGATGGCAACGAGAACGACGACTATGACGACGATGACGATGACGACGACGACGACGACAACAAGGACGAGGGCTAGAACAACAAAGTCGACACGGCCGAGGGCGAGAATGAGAACGGGAGACACGACAACGACGACGACGACGACGAGGAAAAGGACGACGACGACAACAACGACGGCAAAGACGACGACGGCAGCCACTGGAGATCTCCAGAGGTCTCGACAGGCTTCGGGAGATCTCTGGAGGCGTCTGAAAGCGTCTGCAGGTCCTTCGAGGCCCTCTGAGACGACGACGACGACGACGACGACGACGACGACGTCGACGTTGACGACGACGGCGACGACGACGACGACGACGACGACGGCGGCGAGGTCGACGACGACGACGTCGACGAGGACGACGACGATGACGACATTGACGACGACGACGACGACGACGACGACGACGACGACGACGACGACAATGACGACACTGGCGACGACGACGACGACGACGTGATCACCTCACCACGCCGACGCCAACGACGACATTGACGACGACGACGACGACGACGACGACGACGACGACGTTGACGACAACGACGACGACGACGACGACGTCGTCGTTGACGACAACGACGACGACGACGAGACGACGACGACGACGACGACGACGACGACGACGACGACGACAACGAGGACGACGACAACGACGACGCCGACGCCGATGCAGACGCCGACGCCGACGCCGACGCCGACGCCGAGGCTGAGGCCGAGGCTGATGACGACAACGACGACGACGACGGCCACCTCTGCAAGCGCATATAGGCTATCCGATGCCTGTCAGCACGGCGCCAGAGCTGTTGGGGGGCCAGCCCCCCCTCCCCGTACGCTCGTTACTGTGACGGGGGGGGGGGATCCCTACGTACAGAGGGGGGGGGGGGGGGCGACGCACTCGTCACAGACGTTACGGCGTCGGTCTGCAGCAGGGAGAAGGAGGAGGAGAAAGAAAGAGGAGTAGGAGGAAGAAGCGGACGAGAAAGAGGAGAAAGGAGAGGAGTAGGAGGAGGAGGAGAAGAGAAGAGAAGAGAAGAGAAGAGAAGAGAAGAGAAGAGAAGAGAATGATGAGAAAGAGGAGAAAGAAAGATGGAGAAAGCCTTGTCGAAGAATCGCATGTTCTTGCTGGGGTCTGGGTCGGGGGAGAGGCAGCTGTCCAGGGGGACCCCGCAGGCGGAGAGCGCTGTCGAGGCCCAGGCGCGCACTATCCCCGTGTCTTTCTCCAAGTCGTTGAACCCCATGTCCGCCGCCGCGCTTGCAGCGGGCTGCCGTGTCGGACTCCTGCCTCTGTGCGTGGGCTTCGCGTCGCGAGTGGTCAGCAATCACGGTCCATCGGCGCATCAAGTCCGACGTGTGCCCACTTGTCTGAATCAAGTCGCCGTCCTGCCACGCCAAAAAGTTGATAAAAGGCTGTGGACCCAAATCGAGGAACCTGTGCAACCCATGACTGGCAACGCCCGAGTGCGAAACCCAGAATCAGCGTCACACAGGTGAGCGTTTTCTGCTTTGGCGTTTCGACATCGAGCAAAGAGGGGGGAGAGGGGGGGGGTCTGGCTCTGGACCTCTGCTTAATGCGTCTGTTTGCACCAGTGCGTCCTATGATGGGGACGACTTCGCCTGCTCGAAACAGGCGCCCAAAACAGCCAAGATCTACTCCATGGGGGGGGGAGGGGGAGGGGTGGGTGCGAGGGCCCGCGACGATCGGCAAAACAACGAACAAGAAAACGATCACCAGCACAAGTAAGAACCCCCGAGTGCAAGCACTGCTTGGGAGATCGTCCCCTCCTCGCCGACGCGGAGAGGGTGGGGGGGGCCTGTGCCCCCCCTCCGCCCCCCCCCCTGCTCCCCCCGAGCGCCCAGGCGGTGCTGGCGCCGCAGCGCGACTGGATACTCACCTCGAGGAACAGAAAACGCCATACACATAAACTTGTGGCGCTCCGCGCGGATTTCTCCGCCCCGGCGCCGCCTCCGGCGCCGCCCCTGGCGCGCTCCGCGCGCCAGGGAGGGGGAGCCCAGCGCGGATCCAAGACATCCGCGCGGAGCCCCAAAATTTCATGTGTATGGCTTTCTTCTTGTCCTATCACCGACGGCCGACGGCAGGACGTGAGGGATCTCGGCGAGGGTGGCGACCACGGGAAGCAGGTCCAGATAGTAGATCACCGCCCCGATGCAGAGCGTCGGCACCAAGAGGAAGTAGAGGAACCAGGCCCAGAGGCGGGCGCTCCTGCGGTGGCGGGCGTCCCTCGGCGGCAGCAGCAGCAGCGCGCCGTCGCACCTGCCCATGGCCGCGCGCAGCGGGCCGCGCGCCTCACATCCGAGCGGCTGCAGGTGGAGGCCGCGCTCCCAAACGGGGTCGACGCCGCCGAGACCCTGCTTGAGCACAGACACAAAGGGGAACCGGGGAGGCCCAGGGGGAGGAAGATGGCCGAGGGCAGGACACGCGTGGGCGACGAAAGCGAGGGGGGGCCCCGCGCAGCGGAGGCACGGCGACCTCACGCGACGGCTCGCGCGGGCCGCAGGCGCAGCAGGCCCTTGCAGAAAGAGAGGGCGAGTGCGCCAGACCTTCCGCGGGCAGCTCACGCACGAATGTCCGATCGCTCAGACCCTGCTCTTCCGCGGCGAGTGAGCAGATTGACGCATACATCGCCGCGCCGTCTGTTCCGACGCGCGGCCTGAGGTCTTGGGGGAGAGCGCCTCGGCCACCAAGGCAAACTCCGCCTCCGGCGCAAGGCTTGCCCATGGCTTGCCGCGGTGCTGGCTTCGTCTACATGGGCGCGTTTAGAACACACGGCGCGGCGACATATGCGTATGCAGTGCAGACAAGATGATGGGCACTGATTCAGCGTGAGTAAAGTGCCAGACACATCTAGACAGAGAACGGGAGACTTGAGTCCTGCTGCAGTGTATCCAAAGACATGATATCTGCGGTGCACGCCAGCATTGCCCCGAAGGAATTGAGCGGGTAAGGAGTGCAGGAGGGGGGGACGATGGCTGGGGAAAGAGGAGGCAACACCAATCATCGTCTGTGAGCTGACATATGTCATGTGGAAAGACGGAGGGATGAGGCTTCCCTCTCATTCCGCCCCTCCTCCCCCTCCTCCCTACTGATCCGCCGCCTCCTCCTCATCATCATCTTCATCATCTTCATCATCATGCTCTTTCTCCTCTGTCACACTCGTCCTCCTCCCTGCACCAAACCGAACTCCTCCCCATGGTCCTCCTCGACCCCGTTCTCCTCTGTCCATTCCTGCTCTTTCTTCTGTCCCTCCCCTGTATTCAGCCTCTTGCAGCTGCTCCAACTCTCCGCCCCTCTTGCCAGGCGCACGCAAGGCGTCCCACGACTCGACTAGTTCGAGCCTTCGGCCCCTACCGCTTTGTATTTCCTTGTGATGTTTGACGGTGCTGGGGCTCGCTGCCGAAAGTGGCGAAGAGCGTGTTGAAATATTCGCAGCCATAACGGGCGTTATGAGGGGGAGGAGAGGGGGGGAGGGGGGGAGGGCATAAGGTAACGCCCCCCTCCGCTGTGTGGTTCTTGCACCACAGAGTCTGCACGCATCAAAGCAAGCACCACAGTGCGCAGTGCAGAATGCACAGCCGCAGCCGCGCGCACCACATCGCCTACGTACTGCGCAGTGCAAACGTGCAGCATAACAGTGCTCTTTCCCCCGCAACCTCCTTCGAGCATTATATGTGATGGTGTTTGCTGGACGATCAGGGCGCCCGAGCGCCAAACGACGACGATGACGACGACCATAACGACGACGATGACGACAGTGACGGGGACGGGGACGGAAACGGGGACGGGGACGGAGACGCGGACGGGGAAGGGGACGGGGACGGGGATGGTGACGGGGACAGGGACGGGGACGGGGACAGGGACGACGACGACGACGACGACGACGACGACGAGGAGGACTAGGACGAGGACAAAGACGACGGCGAGGACAGGCACGACGAAGACGACGACGACGACGACGACGACGACGACGACGGCGACGACAGCGACAACACCCACGACGACGACGACGATGACGACGACGACGGCGGCGACGACGACGACGACAACGACGACGACGACGACGGCGACGACGACGACGACGACTACGACGGCCGCCTCTGAAGGTGTATAGAGCAAGTCTCAGGAGACCTCTGGAGGCCGCTGGCAGCGTCAGCAGGCCCTGTGAGGGCCTCGGACACGACGACGAACGCTAAGGTAGCCTGCAGGCACCACAGCAGTCTGCGAGCGTCACAATGGCAGCACTGGAGGCGCACAACGGGGGGGAGGCGTACAACGCCGGTACGAAGAGGAGGAGGAGGAGGAGGAGGAGGACAAACTGGGTGCGCTCGCGTCATGTCTGACGTCCCTCCCTCCCAGAAGTGAGAAGAGGGAGGGCCTAATGTGCGTTGGCTGTGCTGGCCCTCCCCTTCCACGGATTAACCAGACAAAGGACCCCTAACCCTTCGGGAGGGAACCTAAGTTAGGAGGGACAGAAACATTAGAGATAGGGTTAGGTCGGGCCTGTCCCCCTACAAGGGGATTTTGGACGAAACATAAAAAATACTCAAAACAGTACTCAAACATGGAAAGAAATTACTCAAACAATAGTTCGCAAACTATTTTTGACTATTTTTGAATATTCCCGCTGTAGAGGGACAGGCCCGACGTAAGGACAGGGGGTCCCTCTGCAGATGTATTAGGCCAAGCCGCCCAGATCTAGAATCCGTAATGCGAAGACGGGGACCTCAGTGAGGCCACATCTTCATCGTGTTCTTAGGGTTAGGGGTTCTTCTGTTCTCGATGATCCTTCCCTCCTGAGTCCTCCCCAGGTCTCCTCCGCGATCTGCCGCGGGGACGCCCCCGGCCCGAAGCGCTGCTGGGCGTGGTCGTCCGCCGACAGCCCCACGAAGTCGTCCAAGAACGTCCGCGCCTCGGCCGCCAGGGGGTGCTGACACCGCCTCCTTCTCGTGTTTCTCCTTCCTCCTCCTCCCGCTCAGCCTCCTCCTCCTCCTCCTCCTCCTCCTCCTCCTCCTCCTCCTCCTCCTCCTCCTCCCAGGGGCTGAAGGATGCGAGCAAAACTGTACGGCGACCTGTTCCAGCCTCCAGAGGTCTGTGGAGGGTCATTCCTCCTTGCTGCTCGAGGGCTCTTCGCGGAACGGTCGGGGGATGGAAACACAAGGAACTGTCGCGGGAGAGCACGGGACGGGGCTGGAGTCATTCTTACCCCTCCTCGAGGAGAGGGGAGGGGAAGAAGGAGGGAAGTGGACAGAAGAAGGGGGAGGAGGACAAGGAGGAGGAGGAGAAGGCGGAGGAGGAGGCGGAGGAGGAGGAGGCGGAGAAGGCGGAGGAGGCGGAGGAGGCGGAGGAGGCGGAGGAGGAGGCGGAGGAGGAGGCGGAGGAGGAGGAGGCTGGAAACGCTTAGACACATGCCCTACATCCCCTCCCCCGCCTCGACACACGGGCGCTCCGCGCCCACATGCCGCCGCAGCGTCAGCCGATCCCCTCCCAGACTGCGAGCGCCCGAAGCAGGCCTGCAGCGCGGCCTTAAGGCGCCGTCACCTCCTCCTCCTCCTCCTCCTCCTCCTCCTCCTCCTCCTCCGCCGCCTCCTCCTCCTCCTCCTACTCCTCCTCCTCCTCCTCCTCCTCCTCCTCCTCCTCCCTGAAAAGGCGCGCGCGCCGTGGCCCTATGGCGCCGCCACCGCAAGCGCCCGACGATCCGCGCGAGGCCATGCCGGGGCGCAGGGCGCGCGACAAATCTCGGCACAGAAATCCGGCGCGAACTTCAGCAGGCATCTGAGACGAAGCCAGGAGGATAGAGTCGGGCGAGGATAAATCGAGAATCTCTGAGATCCGGCGGCTCAAGAGGATGCCTCGGGCGCTGGGGCCTTCTCAGAGCTTTCCGGAACGCTATGAGAGCGTTCTGGAACGCTGTGGAACGCGGACTTCTCCTCGTCCTCGCCCTGCCTGGATTGCCGTGCACACGTCGGCGGACGTCTCGGCCCAGGCTCGGGCGTGCAGTCTCGTGTCTTCAGCGCCAAGATCACTCACTTGCTCCATGCTGCCGGCCGACGAGGCGAGGCATGCGACGGCGCTGCGCGAAGGCTTGGGGCGATACCAGCAGATGCAGACCTCTCCCTTGGGCGCCGAGGGTCAAAGTCATTCCTCCCTCCTCCTCGTGGAGTTAGGTCGGGCATGTCCCCCTACAGGCAGACAAATACTCAACGACTCAACCAATGCACAAAAATACTGGAAAGTAAATTCAAAAAATCGTCCCCATATATTATTGCATTTTCAAACTATGCTTGAATATTCCTCCTGTAGAGGGACACGCCCGACGGAGGAGAATGACCAGAGTAGACCTGACAGGGGCCAAGGATGCTGCAACACACCGTCCTGCCACAGCTCTGTCCTCAAACGCGCCTACGAGCAGTCCATCTGGCTAGGGATACGCCCCTTGAAAGACATGGGCCCAAGGTGCCTGCGATTCTGGCGAGTATGTTGAACAGAGGCACCCGTGTATTCTTTTAGCCGAAAAGGGCGTAATGAATACATATATATATATATTGTTTTATATATAAAGTTCAAGGAGATATCCGACGAAGCACCTTGCGTCAAAATGGAGCCACCGTCAATTCGTGTCAAGGTTTCTCAGACGAAACCCACATCTTGGAATCACAAACAAGCGCCATCCGCACATTGAGTTATAGGAAACGTTAAACGTAATATCATTGCGGCTACGAAGTATAAGAGCGCCGCAAATACGAACCGCACACAAAAGAAGTGTTATCCATCCGTGTAGCTCTTGCGCAAGATCAAACGAATGCGCGCGTCGCTGAGGCGAGAATCGCATGTTCGAAAACGCCCGTCTTCCTACAACTGTTGCAGACCTGACGATCGACTGAACGCGATGAGAAGGCTCGAATCACGTATTACAATATTACAAGCATCCTGTCGTCCGACTGTTTATACAAAATTGATTGGGACCATCTAGAAACATGTGCGCAACGTTTAGGCCATATGTCAAAGCGATCCGCCGTCAATCCGTGTAGATTCTGAACACGTTCAAGAGACTGCGTGTGGCGCTAAGGAGAGGACCACATATTCCAAGCCAAAACGCAGAGCAATCAATTAGCAGGGCCAGGAGCAGTGAGGCAGTATCAGACGACACGCCCGGACCGCCCCACAGAAGCTGCGACGAGGAGGAGGGACGAGGAAGGAGAAGTCTGAGGGAGGAATGAACGATCAACAGGAGGATGGAGGAAGGGCAGGAAGCGAAGGAGGAGAACGAAAGGAGAGAGGACTCCTTCATCTCGTCGTTCTCCTCATCCACCTCTATTCCTCCCACGCTCCTCCGTATTCTCATCTTCCTCCGTCTGTTCTTGTCCATCTGTCCTTAATTGCCAGCGGCGTCACCAGGACACCCCCAGCATTCACCCGAGTTTGTGCCCAATGACTACCCTGACCTTGAGTGTCGACCGCGATGGGAGTTTGCGACCACCCTCCTGTCCATGGTGGCACATGCGGGAAATAGGCCCCACAACGGGACGAAATCGCCCCGAACTCGCATCACTTCAGATCCTCCTGTCACCCTGCCCCTCCTCCTCCTCCTCCTCCTCCTCCTCCTCCTCTCCTCCTCCTCCTCCGCCTCCTCCTCCTGCTCCTCCTCCACCTCCTCCTCCTCCTCCTCCTCCTCCTCCCCCTCCTCCTTCTCCCCATTCTCATCGTTCGTTCCTCCCGCATTCCTGGCACTATCCTTCCTCCGGTTCTTTCCTCCCCTCTCTTCCTCCTCTTCTCCTCCTCCTCCTCCTCCTCCTCCTCCTCCCCTCCCCCCCTCCCCTCCTCCCTCCTCCCCCTCCTCTCCTCCTCCTCCTCCTCTCCTCCTCGCTCCTCCTCCTCCTCCTCCTCCTCACTCTTCCGCCCCTCCTCCTCCTCCTCCTCCTCCTCCCTCCTCCTCCTCCTCCTCCTCATCATCCATCCATCCTCCATCCCCATCCATCATCCCATCCATCCATCCATCCATCCATCCATCCATCCTCATCCATCCTCATCATCCATCCTCCTCCTCCTCACCTCCTCCTCCTCCTCCCTCTTCCTCCTCCTCCTCCATCCTCCTACTCCTCCTCCTGTCCTACCCATTCTCATCGCTCGTTCCTCCTCCACACTACTGGTACTTTATTATTATCCTCCCCCTCCTCCTCCTAATCCTCCTCCTCCTCCTCCTCCTCCTCCTCCTCCTCCTCCTCCTCCTCCTCAGTTGGACTCGAGCGTTCGCATGCCTTGTGCTCGTCCCGCTGTCCCCGCGATGGCTACTGCGGGCTCGGCTGGAGGTGATCTGCATCCCGCGTCGGCGGCCCTCCTCGTCGAGGCGGCTGTGCGCGGGGCGGCCGGTGCGCCGAGGCGCACGGTCGCGGCGGTGGCGAGGTCGGCAGTGTCGGCGGCAGCGTTCGCTGCCTCGGCACCGCCCCCGCCCGCCGCAGCGGCTGGCGACGAGGTGCAGCCCGGTGTTCTTCCTAGCGGAGACGCGGACCCCGCGGTGTGGGCCGCGCGGCGGCGGCGCCGTCGCCAGCGCCGTGCGGCGCGGCGTGCGGCCGCCAAGATGGACATCGACTCGAAGGCCGAGGAGGCGCCCGCCGCTGCTGGTGCGGCTGGCGCTGGTGCGGCGGCTGGGGATGCTCGCGCGGGCCTCGAGCTCGAGCTGGCGCCTGTGGCGGCTGCCGTCGAGGCCGGCACGGTGCGGGGCGTGTTTCGCGTCGCCGGCGTTCCCATCCTGCTTGTCATCGTCGTTTCCCCTAGATACGAGGAGGAGTGGGAGGAGGAGGAGGAGGAGGAGGAGGAGGAGGAGGAGGAGGAGGAGGAGGAGGAGAAGGAGAGGAGGAGGAGGAGGAAAGGAGGAGAACGAGGAGGAGAGGAGGAGGAGGAGAGGAGGAGGAGGAGAACGAGGAGGAGGACGAGGAGGACGAGGAGCAGAAGGAGTAGCGAGGAGGAGGAGGAGGAGGAGGAGGAGGAGGAGGAGGAGGAGGACGAGGGGGAGGAGCGAGGACGAGGAGGAGGAGGAGGAGAAGGAGGAGGAGGAGGAGGAGGAGGAGGAGCTGGCGCCTGTGCGGGACGTGGGGATGGCTGCTGCTGCTGGCGCTGCCGCCGTGGAGGCGGCGGCGGCGGAGCTGCTCGACGACGAGGGCGGCCGACGGCGGGAGGCTCGCCGCCGCGTCGCTGGTGGTCCGACGAAGTCGACGACGACGACGACGTCGACGACGAAGATGAGCGCCCGTCGCTGGCGGTCCCTCGCTGCCTGCTGCGGAGAACGCTGCCGAGCGTTTGGAGCGCGCGCATCTGGCTGAGCAGCACCTCAAGTACCCAGGCTCCCTAGCGCTGTGAAGGGACAAACAAAAGCCGACGGGGGGTGTTTCTCTATTTTCGGCCTCCCGGGGCCCTTACCAGGCCCTGGGACCGTCAAACAACTACTCAGGATGAGAAACCGGCCCTGGAGTAGGGGTCCATACCTCTGGTGGTCGACGTTGCGAAAAAAACACGGCGTTGGGGGTCTGAGAGAGTTTAGACGGGCATGTCCCTCTACAGGAGGAATATTCAAGAGTAGTAAAGCATGATATGGCGACAATGTTCCGTGCTCTGTTGGCGACTGTTGAATATTTGTTTGAGTCTGTTGTTTTATTGTCCTCAAGCATCCGCCTGTAGGAGGGCATGCCCGACCTCAGGCTGAGCAGCACCTCAAAAGCACTCTGGCACGAGGGCGTCTGGCGCGGAGGTCCTGCCGCTGGTTCTGCGGCATGAGGCTGCGCGTCGCGGCGCTGCGCGACGAGGAGGGGGCCGGCGAGCGGGGGTGGCGCAGGCGCCAGCGTGAGGAGGGGGGCGCAGCGGAAGGGTCGGCGATGCAGTGGAGGCCCGACCACAAGAACCCTTCCACCAGAAACCCAACCCTGAGACCCCAGGACGTCCGTTGGTTTTTGGTGTGGGAGCGTCGCGCCTTCCACAGCAAAGCCATCGAAGCCCAAGAAGCCCAGGGCACCCTGGAGGCAAGCAGGGAGTTTCTTGTCATGGGTCTCCACTGTAGTGCCGCTCCCCGCGGAGGGCAGCGGCCACCTGCCCCTTCCCCCCTCCCTACCAGGGAGCACGACTTCGTCGTCGCCGTCGTCCTCCTCCTCCTCCTCCTCCTCCTCCTCCTCCTCCTCCTCCTCCGCCTCCGCCTCCGCCTCCGCGCCTCCTCCCTCCCTCCTCCTCCTCCTCCTCCTCCTCCTCCTCCTCCTCCTCCTCCTCCTCCTCCTCCTCCTCCTCCTCCTCCTCTCCTCCTCCTCATCTCCTCCTCCTCCTCCTCCTCCTCCTCCTCCTCCTCCTCCTCCTCCTCCTCCTCCTCCTCGCCTCCGCCTCCGCCTCCGCCTCTCCCCCCCCTCCTCCTCCTCCTCCTCCTCCTCCTCCTCCTCCTCCTCCTCCTCCTCCGTCCTCCTCCTCCTCCTCCCTCGGCCTCCGCCTCCTCTCCTCCTCCTCCTCCTCCTCCTCCTCCTCCTCCTCCTCCTCCTCCTCCTCCTCCTCCTCCTCCTCCTCCTCCTCCTCCTCCTCCTCCTCCTCCTCCCTCCATCCTCCTCCCCCAGGCCCCTCCCCCTCTTCTCCTCCTCCTCCTCCTCCTCCTCATCCTCCTCCTCCTCCTCCTCCTCCTCCTCCTCTCCTCCTCCGCCTCCGCCTCCGCTCCTCCTCCCCCTCCCCCTCCCCCTCCTCCTCCTCCTCCTCCTCCTCCTCCTCTTCCTCCTCCTCCCTCCTCCTCTCTCCTCCTCCTCCTCCTCCTCCTCCTCCTTTTCCCTCTCCTCCCCTCCTCCTTTTCCTCCTCCTTTTCCTCCTCCTCCTCCTCCTCCTCCTCCTCCTCCTCCTCCTCCTCCTCCTCCTCCTCCTACTCCTCCTCCTCCTCCTCCTCCTCCTCCTCCTCCTCCTCCTCCTGCCGCGTGAACACGAGGCGCCGCTGCCTCTCCCCAGCCGCGACGCCCGACTACAGGCCAAGGGCCACCGGTGGACCACAGGCAGAACCGCATCGGTCCCTTCGCGCCGCAGAGGGCGGCGAAGCAATGAGCACCTGGCTCGAGGCGTGCTGAAATTGAAAATACCCTACAAGCTTGAATCTCACGAAACTTCCAGGACGGATCAAGCAGGCCAAGACGGTCCAGAGGGACCCGCGGAAGAAACCCAAGGCCAAGGACGCGGGCGACGAGGGCCTGTACGTGGTCTTCTCCTCCAGAGAACTCGCCGCACCACCCTCACTGGCTGGCCGCGGGGAGCAGAGCGGCGCGAGCAGAAGTCCTCCTCCTCCTCCTCCTCCTCCTCCTCCTCCTCCTCCTCCTCCTCCTCCTCCTCCTCCTCCTCCTCCTCCCTACTTGTGTGGGCACTGTGGGCGAGAGAGCGCCGACCTCGAAGCCCGCTCGTTGCACGAAACTGACCCAGTACCAGGACTGGAGACCCATGGCCCACAGCTGCGGCGTCGCAGGGCGAGGCAGGAGAGCTAGTCGGAGCGGAAGCTTCCCCCGCCACGAGACCGCCCGCCGTGGCGGGGCGAGGCAGTCGAACACTGCAGGCGCCGGGTCATCAGGGCAACGGACAGAGCAGGCAAAGCGCACGCGGAGCAGGAGAGAGGCAGGGTCCGCCACACACTCGAGTACCAGTGAGGCTCATCAGGACGCAGACCTCCCAGCGGCACAGCTGCTCACGGTGCAACAGCAGGCGGCTGCCATGAGCCTCATGACAGCGGAGGAGTTCGGAGACAGGCTCCAGTACTTGAGAATCAGACCAAGCTGCGCGGAGAAGTGAGCTGATGCGAAATGGAAGCTGCGCGTGCAAATGAACCCCTTGGCAGTGAGCCTGAGGCTGTGCGAGGAGGAGAGAACCAAGCTGCACGAGAGGCATTGCAGCGCGGCCGAGGAGAAGCATGGGGGAACACGTCAGCAAGGACAAGAGTTGTCTCCGCTCCGGAAGCGCCAGTCGAGCTGCCGAGCATTACGATGCAGGACCTGCGCATGATGATGTTGCGCTCAGTGGTCCGCGTCGGAGCAAAACCATCCAGGGCAGCCCGCCCCCCACAGCGCCGGAGCGCCAGGTCCAGAACACGTTGCGCAGCCGGCAGGGGAAGTAATACATAGTAAGAGCAGTGAACCACGAATCGTCCGAATCGAACTTGCGTAGAATGAGCCACAGTGTAAGCAGAATCACAGCGAGCGCAGCCCCTTCCTCTTCCTCCGCTCCCCCCCCACCACTCCAAAACTGCCGAAGACACAGATGAGAGAGGACTCTTGCCACGGACAGCAAGTGTAAGGGCCGAGGAGCTCTTAGCGAGACTGAAGCGTAGGAATGGAAAGGCCCGACCAGGCTAAGATACCTGTTTGAGGCGTCCGGGTCACCATCCTGAGCTGGCAAAGTCTTTGTTCTGATGCGAGGGTGCCGTCGTGGAGATGATGGGCCACGAGCTCTGAGCCTCCTGACCGCTCGTCCTGCTCCCAGGGACCACCCCAGAGCCCCAAGAGGGCCCGCCGATGTCTGGTGGCCTTTGGCCCCTGGGGCGCTCCCGGGGGGCTCCCGCACGATTCACTGCTGTTGCAGCTGACGGCCACCCCAAAGGGAAGCTGGGCCTCTCGAGCTTGCCGGGCGATCCCCGGCTGCCGAAGCACCGGCCCGACCCGATCCTCGAGCCTCTGCGGACCCTCGCGGCCACATCCCAAAGGTGATTTCGACACGATGTCGTCCAGATTCCGACCACCCCTCTGCATCCTTTCGTCCAGACTTCATCCAGACGTCGACCACATCCGACGACCTCCGGACGGAGTCCCCCTGCACCAAGGAGGTTGGGGACCCTTCGGGCCTGCCATGAATCGGCGGCGGGCGAGGGGGGGAAGTGAGAATGATAAGACCTTCTCAGAAGGCTCGGAAGTCCCCCGGCCTTCTGAGAAGCTTTCGGAGCCCTTCCCGAAGACAAAAAAAACTCTCTGACGGCGCGAGGGCTTCTGAGAAGCCCGGCCTTCTGAGAAGGCCTGCTCCCGCTCATTTCCCCCCCCGCTCGTCGCCGAATGAAGGACCACACCTCTCCTCCACCATAGGTAGGCGGAGAGGTGTGGTGGGGATCTCGCCGCAGATGATCGGCCCATCAGCCACCACAGGTGGGAGAGGTGTGCTGGGGATCTCGCCGCCTATAATCGGCCTATGGGATTCCCTCTCCTGCCTCGCCACCGGCCAAGGCAACGGCCACGGCCAAGGCCACGGCCACGGCCACGGCCACGGCCACGGCCACGGCCACGGCCACGGTCACCCCCCTCGCCCTCCTCTCCTCGCCCCCCCCCGCCCTCGGGCAGGACGCTCGCGCGGCGGGGGGCACCCCTGAGCCCCGAGCCGGAGGCGCGGCCGCCGAGCCCACAGGCCCCTCGGCGTCGGTGCCCTGGGCGGGAGGGCGGGCGCGGCGGGCGCCAACGCCGAGGCGCGGCGTCCCGCGCGCCCCGGGGGGAGGGAGGGGGGCGGATGCGCGCAGGACTTGTGTCCATATCCTCTGCAGCTCGGAGTCTCGGGCTCCCTCCCCCCGGCAAGCCGGGGCGCACTGGCCGTGGAAGAAAGGTCTGGCCCCCGGAGTTGGCCTACATGTCCAGAGCGCCTTGCCCTGGCGCCCCTTCCAAGGAAGTCCGAGGCGCACTGCATGTGGATATGAGCGTTGCCCGCAGCGACGGAGAGGCACAGGGCCAGAGCTTGACCGCCCTCCGGCCTGCGAGCCGCGGCCACTGACCCAGGCCGACCCGGAGCTCTTGGTCTGGCCATGTTTTGCGAGCTGGAGGAGAGGCTAGGGCGAGAGCTTGACCGCCCTCCAGCCTGCGAACCGCAGCCCCTAGCCCAGGCCGACACGGAAATCCTGCCCTGGCATTAAGTCGGGCGTGTCCCCGTACAGACGGATTTTTACGAACAAATAAAAATAGCCCAATAATGCCAAACAAATATAGTCAAAAGTCATCGAAAAATCGTCCCCACTATTTTTGAATACTCCTCCTGTAGAGGACAGGCCCGACTTACGCCTGGCAATGTTTTTCGAGCTGGGCGGCGTGGGTCGCCTGCTTTCTGGGCCCCGAAAACCCTCACAAATCGAGCGGCCGACTCGAGAGAAGCTGGGCAGAAAGATGGAGCCGGTTTGTAGCTGAGACTCCGGCAAGTTTGCTTGCATGGACTGGGGGGGAGGCCTGAACGTCCCTTTACAGGAGGACGATTCAAAAATAGTCCAAAAATAATCGGGGGACGATTTTTCAACTAGTTTGAGCATTTGGGGGGTATGTTTGGACTATTGCTTTGTTTTTCATCCAAAATCCGCCTGTAGGGGGACACGCCCAACTTAGGCCTGAACCTGAAGCACGCCGCAAGCGACTTGCACGTGCGGAAATCACGCAGGTCGAAAGGCGCTCTCACGCGAGTTGTTCCTTTGAAGAGGGGCGATGGAGGGGGAAGGGGAGGGGGGGGGGGGTGGGGCGAACGCCGTGCAAGTAAGCTTGCCTAAATCTGGGGAAATCAAAGGGTACCGATACCGCTACTCCCCGGACCTCTCCCCGGGTGCGTTCTGATCAAGATTTCGAGGCGAATCCAGCGGTGGCGACGAGGGCCTCCGATGAGGCCCAAAAACAATAAAACGAAGAAACGGTGGAGGTACCGGTACCTCTTCCTCCTCTGAGAATATTACCCCACGGTCGGAAGAGGTAGGTAGAAAGATGAAGTAGGAAGGCGTTGGAAGTAGATTGAGTCTCCGCCAGCCCCCTGAAGAGGAGGGAAGGCGAAGCCACTCGATCATTGAAGTAGGAAGGCCCCTGAAGGAGATTGGACTCTGGGGTTCCAAAAAGACCGACTTTCAACGACCGATGGGTAAACAACAAAGCAGGCTCAGGTGTCTAGGGCTCCAGGCGTGATTCCTTGCGAAGTTGCACTTTTTGGCAACGTCGGATCTTGGGGAAGGAAACAATTGAGCAGGGACCGACCGTCCTGGCATTCTGGTAGGCCTACCACCACAAGTTCTTAGAACCCAAAAATGCTAGAAAAACAAAGGCCAATGTTCTTAGAACATGAGCCCGCCGTGCTGTAAAACGAGACACGGTCTCGCCACCATAAGTGTTCTGAGAACAGCTCGTGCAGACGACCACACAAAGGTTCTCAGAACCTTCTTTGGTGGGCCCCCGCAGGTAGGCTTAAAAGTCGGGCCCGCCCCTCCACAGGAGGAATATTCAAGAATCATCAAAAAATAGTCCGGGGACTATCTTTTGATATGTTTGTTTGATCATTTGAGGGCATTTGTTGCGTATGTTCTGTTTTTCGTCCAAAGTCCCCCTGTAGGTTTGGAGTCCCGAAACGGTGCGGTGATACACCGTGCGGTGACCTCGAAATCCCCCAAGACCTCACCGCACGGTCCGTCACCGCACGGTCTTGGGACCCCGGAGGCCCCTGTCGCCCGAGACGTCCTCGGAGAACGGCCCGAGTCCCAAAACCGCGCGGTGACCCCAAACCCCCACCGACTCACCGCACGGTGTGGTCACCACCCCGTTTGGGGACCCCACGAGCAGGGGGACACGCCCGACCTGAAAGTAGGCTGGGACGCCTCGCCGCTGCTCGAAACAATCCACAGGCCTCCGGCGGCCGCGCCCAGCCGCCCCCCCCCCGCTGGGCGTCCCGGGGGGGGGGCAGCGGAGAGCAGCCTGGCGCAGAGCGGGGCCCTGCGGCTCCTCCTCCTCGATCCTCCCCTCCTCCTCCTCCTCCTCCTCCTCCTCCTCCTCCTCCTCTCCTCCTCCTCCTCCTCCTCCTCCTCCTCTCCTCCTCCTCCTCCTCCTCCTCCTCCCGAGGACCCGGGCGCCCGAGGCATCCCGGGCAACTCGGGCCCGGGGCAACTCGGGCTCCCAGAGATCCAACGCAATGAAAAAAACACGACGGAGGTTTTTCTCAGCTTTCGGCCTTTAGGGGCCCTTACCGGGCCTCGGGACCGTGCAAAAAACGACTCGGGATGAAAGATCGGTCCAGAGGAATGGGTCGAGGCTTCCGGGACCCCGTCTTGAAGAATTCACGACAACGGATCCCTGGGATCGGATTCCCGAAAAACTACAGTCGGACTGGATTGGCTAGGGCGCGCGAGAGGACATAAGACCTTCCGAGGGCCACATTGCCACAGGAACGCAGGCAGCATAGGTCGCGAGACACAGGACGCACGGGTACCCTTGATTTGGGCCGACTGTAGAGGCCTCCTGGATGGGGTCGGAGTGGATGGGGTCAGAGGATCGCGCCGCATCGCCGATGCATCGGCGATACATCGGCGATGCACCGGCGATGCATCTGCGACGTCGGCGATGCATCGGCACCGTCGGCGTGGAGAAAATCGGGCTCCACATCGAGCCGCATCGCCGATGCACTGCCGATGCATCGGCGATGCAGCGCGATCCTCCGACCCCATCTTCTCGGACCCCATCTGGGAGGCCCAGAAAAACGAACCCGAGTTAGCCCTGACAAGAGTTACCCCTGATGCGCTGGGGCTCTGGGCGCCCGAGGCATCCGGGGTAAAGCTCGGGCCCCGGGTATCTCGGGCTCGGATTCCCGAGAAGCGACCCCGAGTGTCAGCCCTGACTGAAGGGGCCCTGGGACACACACAAACAAATACACACAAAGAAGAGGATTCACCCTATTTTCCCATATGTTCTGGGCCTGGTCTTCCCCCCAATCCCCACAGCTATGTTCCCATATCTTCTTTGGGGAATCGACGATTCCTTGTGTCTGTGCGTTTTGTTTCCCCTCCCGACTCGACCCGAGCTGCGCCCCGGATGCTCCCGGGGCTCGGGGGCGAACGGTGGCGGCCGGGCGCCGCGTGCCGTGGCGGTCTCCTCTGCGCCGTTGGCCTTCGACGCCGCGGCGGGGATCGCTCCCCGGACACCCGGCCATCGCTCGGACGTGCACTCCCACTGTGTTTTTTTTCTTCGGTTTCGTGCGTGGTCTTCTGCAGGAGGAGCCAGGAGGCTCCTTCAGAATCCCCGCCGGGACAAAGTGTGCACGCGTCCGAGCGATACCAAGGGCAGGGTCGCGCCGTATAAAACAAAAACAAAAAAGAAACATCCGGACGGCGGGTATTCGGCCGCGTCCAGCCTCGGGGGGGGCCTGTCGCCGTTTTGTTGTTTGTTTGTTATTGCCTCTTCTATATACATATATATATATACATATATCTATATATATAAATAAATAAATAAATAAATAAATAAATAAAACAAAACAAAAAAAAAAAAAAAAAAAAAAAAAAACTCCGGACGGCGGGTCTTCGGCAGGTTCAAGCCTCGGGGGGGGGGGGGACGCTGTCGCCGGGCCGCGGGGCCGTCCAAGCAGGACGACCCGCAGGATGAGAAGAGCCGGTCCCGGGGAGAGAGTGGGTCGGGGCTTCCGGGGACCGCGTCGTGAATTAATCTGGGCGTCGCAGGTCTGGGTCCACCTCTCGCCGTCGCTCGGACGTCAGGGGCGGCCGAGCCGACCAATCGCAAGCCATCCCCTTCTGTGACGCCCCCCTCGCCTCTCTCCCCAGGACGGGTGTATGCGGCCGGAGGGGAGCTCGAAAAGCGAGGATGACGTCACGGAAGGGGATGTCTTGCTAGAGGTCGATTAGGCCGCGCCCGAGGACGGCCAGCCCCCGTGCAGTGGTGCGGCTTCGCGCGCACCTTTCTCCGCACAAGATGGCCCCACAGTTTTCCCCGAGGGCCCTGGCCGAAACAGCGCACGCGTCCGCACGATGCCAAGGCCTCGAGGGGTCGGCGGCTCCCTGGTCGCCAGAACGTCCGTGTCCGCCGATGCTGGGCCGCGGACGGCGTTCCACCCTGGACGCCCTTCGGCGGGGTCGCCGCCGCGTCGACACGACGCGCGCCTGCCGTGGGGGCTGCTGCAGGCCCCATGAGAGCGCCACTGATCAGGAGGGAAAGAAACCCACGGACACAATGAAAATCGTCGATTCCCCAGAAGATATGGGAAAATGTGGGAAGCGGGGGGGAAGACGAAAACCCAGAAAATCTTGGGAAATGTGGGGAAGCTTGTTATTTGTGTGTATTGATTTGTGTGTCCCAGGGCCCCTTCAACTGAGCCAGATCAGGCCCGGGATCGGGCGGATGAAGCGGGGTCGAGCTGTGGAGTAGGGGCGGGATAGAAGCAGGACGAGGCGGCCTTGGGCCAGGGTTCGGCCAGGGATGCATACCGGCGCCGATGCCGGACACCTCGCCTCCCAGGGGCTGCGCCCTGGGAAGCGCCCCCCGACCCCCATGCCGCCCCGGCCCTCCTCTCCATCTCCTGCCCCCTGCTCCTGCCCAGCTCTCCCACAGCCCCAGCCCCCTCCGAGGGGGGAGGAGAGCGTGTTGGGAGGAGGGCGGGGGCGGCGCGGCTCGCGGGGAACGCATCCGGCCTGGCGTCGGCGAGGCGTCACCGGGTGCATCGGCGAAAACCTTGAGATCCGACGCCTCCCCCCAATTATCCTGGCGAAGGACCCAACCATATGCAATTGTGAGTATCGCAATTGTGAGTATCTTCTTCGGTGGCGCTCCCTATGGGGCCACGAACCGCATGAGGGGTGTGCTGAAATGTGGCGGGGTACACAACGCAAAGGAATACGATAGATCTGATTACGAGAAAAAGAACACGGGTGAGTCAGAGCGCGAGGGAATCTGAGTATGAATGGGCCTGCGCGCGAGTGAATATATTTGCATGAGTGCGATCATGGAACCGCCTAGTGTAAGTGTCGAGCATGCCTGTCCGAACACACGTGACACTGGGCGTGGCCGCCGCAGGCAGCTTCCGCGGGAACCCCGACGGCAGCGTCCGCACGTCGCGACGCCCATGTCGGCACGCCTCTTGCGAGGATCGCGCCCGCTTTCGGCTCTTCTTTTCCTTCCTCTTTGCCCGCGCACTCCAAAATCCAAGGCTGCGGGCGCAGCGCAGCGCGGAGTCCCCGCGACGCGCGCTGGTCGCCCCGGGCGGGGTCCCAGCGACGCGCGCGGGTCGTCCGCTGCGCGAAGCAGAGAGAGCTGACTAGCTAACTGGCTGGCTGATAGCGGGCAAGTCTCTGACCGCTGGGCAGAGCGACGACGGGCGAACGAGGCGCCGGGCCCCCCGCAGCACGGAGTTCCCGCGACGCGCGCTGGTCGCCCCGAGAGGGTCCCAGCGACGCGCGCGGGTCGTCCGCGGCGCGAGGCCAAACAATTAGTCGGGCAGTCGAGAGAAGGCGCGGCTCGGGGGAGACGCTCCTCAGGTCAGGCCTCGCGGATGAACTCGGTGAAGCCGAGCTCCCTGGCGAGGGCCGTCGCTTCCCTCCTGCACCGCTTCGTGCGCGCCGCAAACTGCTCCAGCTGCTTCCGCAAGCCCTGCGGCGGCCCTGCCAGGAAGAACTCGATGCGCGGCGCCCGCATGAGCAGGAGGTCCTCGTGGCGCGTGGCGCGCGAGAGCAGCACGTAGAGCTCCAGCCACCAGTCGTCGTCCTCCTTCTTGCCGTTCCCTACCTCGTGGCGGCCGCAATCCAGGATCACGCCTGGGCGACGTCGACCGAGGGAGCAGCGCGCCGGGCAGCCGACGGCCCAGGGCGAGAGTCCACAGGACCGAGAGATGGTCTGGCCGCGGACTGCTCGCGCCCCGGAGGTCTGGCCGCCCCCGGAGCGCCGTTCCCCCGCCCCGTCGCCTTCGCGCAAGGTGCGCCCCTGGCACGCCACCGTGGTGATGACCCTGCCGTGCGAGAAATGCGGGGGGGGTGCCGAAATGGGTGGGGGTGACGCATGCGGGCGGCGGCACTGAGGCCTTCGGTGGAGCTCCCTATGGAGCCACGAAACGTGTGAGGGGTGTGCCGAAATGGGTGTGGGTGACGCATCCGGCCGCGGGCACTGGGGCCTTCGGTGGGGCTCCCTATGGAGCCACGAAACGTGTGAGGGGTGTGCCGAAATGGGTGTGGGGGACGCATGCGGCCGCGGGCACTGGGGCCTTCGGTGGAGCTCCCTATGGAGCCACGAAACGTGTGAGGGGTGTGCCGAAATGGGTGTGGGGGACGCATGCGGCCGCGGGCACTGGGGCCTTCGGTGGAGCTCCCTATGGAGCCACGAAACGTGTGAGGGGTGTGCCGAAATGGGTGTGGGGGACGCATGCGGCCGCGGGCACTGGGGCCTTCGGTGGAGCTCCCTATGGAGCCACGAAACGTGTGAGGGGTGTGCCGAAATGGGTGTGGGGGACGCATGCGGCCGAAATGGGTGTGGGGGACGCATGCGGCCGCGGGCACTGGGGCCTTCGGTGGAGCTCCCTATGGAGCCACGAAACGTGTGAGGGGTGTGCCGAAATGGGTGTGGGGGACGCATGCGGCCGCGGGCACTGGGGCCTTCGGTGGAGCTCCCTATGGAGCCACGAAACGTGTGAGGGGTGTGCCGAAATGGGTGTGGGGGACGCATGCGGCCGCGGGCACTGGGGCCTTCGGTGGAGCTCCCTATGGAGCCACGAAACGTGTGAGGGGTGTGCCGAAATGGGTGTGGGGGACGCATGCGGCCGCGGGCACTGGGGCCTTCGGTGGAGCTCCCTATGGAGCCACGAAACGTGTGAGGGGTGTGCCGAAATGGGTGTGGGGGACGCATGCGGCCGCGGGCACTGGGGCCTTCGGTGGAGCTCCCTATGGAGCCACGAAACGTGTGAGGGGTGTGCCGACGCAATGGGGCCTTCGTGGCTCCCTATGGACCAAACGTGTGAGGGGTGTGCCGAAATGCATGCGGCGGGGGCACTGGGGCCTTCGGTGGAGCTCCCTATGGAGCCACGAAACGTGTGAGGGTGTGCCGAAATGGGTGTGGGGGACGCATGCGGCCGCGGGCACTGGGGCCTTCGGTGGAGCTCCCTATGGAGCCACGAAACGTGTGAGGGGTGTGCCGAAATGGGTGTGGGGGACGCATGCGGCCGCGGGCACTGGGGCCTTCGGTGGAGCTCCCTATGGAGCCACGAAACGTGTGAGGGGTGTGCCGAAATGGGTGTGGGGGACGCATGCGGCCGCGGGCACTGGGGCCTTCGGTGGAGCTCCCTATGGAGCCACGAAACGTGTGAGGGGTGTGCCGAAATGGGTGTTGATGATGATGATGATGATGATGAGGGGGGAGGAGGCAGCGGGAGGAAGGAAGGAAGGAAGGAAGGAAGGAAGGAAGGAAGGAAGGAAGGAGAACGCGGGGCACCGTCTCTTCAAAACGAGGACCCAACACCACAGGATGGTTGGGAAAAAAACGGGACGCCGTGAAACACCGCGCCCGGGACCCCTAGAGACCCAATCTTCCTGCGTCCTTTTCCTCGAGGCGGATCCATCGGTGAGGGCCCCGGGGTCCGAGAGGAGAAACGAAGACGCCCGGCTCGAAGAGAAGTCGCAGCGCCAGGATCTCATAGGAAGGCCCTCGGCAGCGACGCCGAGCGCGCCCGAGAGGAGGGGCGGGCTGTCCAGCCCCCTCTCGGCGATCTCTGGGCGATGGGGGGTCGACGCGCCCCCCCCATCCCCCCCCCTCTGAGCCTCCATCCGCTGCCATCGCGTCTTGCGCGATGTTGATCGATGCTGATCGATGTTGATCGATTCGGGGGCCACATGCGAACCCTGCCCCTGCACCCCACGGGGCTCCCGAGCGGAATGAACCCCACCCTCCCCCTCGGAAATCGTGGGGGGTAGGGGTAGGGTTCGCATGTGGCCCCCTAATCGATGCTGATGGGGTTTTGATCGGTTGTGGACGATGCGGATCGATTTTGATCGGACGTCTCGAGAAGCGAGAAGGCACCGACACCGCCACTCCCCGGACCTCTCCCAGCGGTGCGTTCTGACCAGAACTTCGGGGCGAATCCAGCGGTGGCGACGAGAGCCTCCCAGGAGACCCAAAAAGGAGCAATGAAAATCAGAGCCCCAAAAAACAGGATGTAGATTCTTTGTGCGAGGGCTCTCTGGATTTCCTGGGCCAAACAGGGGGCCAAAATTCACTGCCGCCCTGCCAAAACGGGAGTGGACGACTTTGAGCGGGGAGCCCGAGTGTTTGCCGTGCTCCTGATGTTTGCAGGTAAGGCTCTCACCTTGTGGCCCCAGTCGGCAACCACCGGCGCCAGCAAAAACGAGCTGAAGAGGGGGCCGAGGCTCAGGGCTGAGATCCAGAGAGGTGTGCAGGCTGCTCGCGCCGTAGCTGCGCAGCCTGTCGAGAGGGAGGCCGCCATTTTATCGGCAGCCGCCCCATCTCCACCACGTCCTCCTCCTCCTCCTCCTCCTCCTCCTCCTCCTCCTCCTCCTCCTCCTCCTCGTCCTCCTCCTCCTCCTGATCCTCGGTCGTCTTGGTCCCCAAGCCCGGAGGAAGATGCACAGGAGTTTCTCGCCCACGCATGGTTTGGGAGGTAAGCTAAAAGGGTGTGTGCACGCTGCGTGGCGAGGGCGTGTAAGGACAGCACAAAGGCTCGCTCGCATAAGCAGGCTCACCAACCCAGGCCACGGCAGTCCGTTGCCATGTTTTCTGTAAGGTTTCAGGGGCACCGGCTCTTAACGCTTCCATTCTCAGCTGAAGAGGAGGCATTCTGCCTCGGATGTGCGAGGTGCGGGGCCCACGCTTCGAGAGGTTTGCACTGCTTGGCTGGGAGTTGCCATGGAGGCTTCTCGCCGGATGAGCAGCAGCGCCGCTGGAGTCGGATGTGGAAGGGGCAGCATCCACGGACCCACAAGGGGAAGAGCATTGAATGGGGGCCCCCTGAATCCGTACACTGCCTCCAGCGGGCAGCCCGCCAGCAGCTCCTCCTCCTCCTCCTCCTCCTCCTCCTCCTCCTCCTCCTCCTCCTCCTCCTCCTCCCTCCTCCTCCTCCCCCCTCCTCCTCCTCCTCCTCCTGCGCCTCCTCCTCCTCCTCCTCCTCCTCCTCCTCCTCCTCCTCCTCCTCCCCCCCCCCCTCCCCCTCCTCCTCCTCCTCCTCCTCCTCCTCCTCCTCCTCCTCCTCCTCCTCCTCCTCCTCCTCCTCCCTCCTCCTCCTCCTCCTCCTCCTCTCCTCCTCCTCCTCCTCCTCCCCTCCTCCTCCTCCTCCTCCTCCTCCTCCGCCTCCTCCTCCTCCTCCTCCTCCTCCTCCTCCTCCTCCTCCTCCGCCTCCTCCTCCTCCTCCTCCTCCTCTCCTCCTCCTCCTCCTCCTCCTCCTCCTCCTCCTCCTCCATTGGAAGGCAAGCAGGCAGCGGCGGGAGCCTGGGGGCAGAGGGCGGGAGGCGGGGGCCCCCCCTTCGTGCGGGGGCGCGGCCGCCTGCCTCCCTGCGAGGGGCAGAGCCACGGGCAGCGCCGGAGCGTTCTCCTGCGCTCGTCGCCCACCTCGAGCAGGGGCCGACCTGGGGGAACGAACAAAGACACAAACCTAAAAACTCGGAGGTCCGCGCGGATTTCTCGGATCCGCGCTGGACCCCCCTGGCGGCGCCTCTGGCGCCGCCCCTGGCGCGCTCCGCGCGCCAGGGAGGGGGGTCCAGCGCCGATCCGCAAAACTCCACGCGGACCTCCGAGTTTTCATGTTTATGTCATTTTTCGTTCCCCTATGACCGTCCCGGCAGTCCTATAGTCCTACCACGAAGTGTTCTCAGAACGCGAGAATGTTCCAGGAACAGAAACAGTGTTCTTAGAACATGCACCCGACGTGTTAAACCGAGACAGTCCCAACCAGAAGTGCTCCAAGAACGTTTCGTGGAAGCCACAAAGGGTTCTTAGAACATTGTTTGGTGGGGCTTGAGGCGAGTCAGGACGCTGCGCCACTGCTTGACAACCTCCCCCCCCCCCCTTCCCCGCCCTCCCCGCCCCCCCCCCCCCCGAGCCTGAGCCAGCATCGGTCTCAGCAGGGGGTGGCGCTCGAGCTCGGCCCGGCTGGGCTGCCGGCCTCGCGGGACGCCGGGGCGCCCGCCGCGGCAGGGATGGGCGCGGAGACGCACGGCGCGCCCTCGACTGCAGCAAAACAATCGTCAGGGGACGATGTCTCGATTACTTTTGAAGCTATGATGTGGATACTTTCTCGTCCAGAGTCCGCCCGTATGGGGGGACACGCGCTGAGCGAGGAGCGGGGCCCGAGCATCGCGGGGCGGCCCCCCCGAGGCCTGGGCGCCGCAGCCGCTGCACGCCGGGCGCGCTCGCGCGCCCTCGGGCCGCGGGGCCCTCGGGTCGACCCCGAGCGAGGAGGTCCCCCCTCGAGCGGCGGGGTCCGCGGCGCTCCCCTCGAGCGGCGGGGCCCCGGCGAGAAGGCTCACGACGCGGCGTGGCTTCGCGACGTCGGAGCTCCGGGGGAGGCTCGAGGATCGAGGGTTCTGATCACTGGTCGTCCTGCTCGGGGCCTCGACGAGGCTCCCCGTGGCCACGACAGGATTGCCACAGGAATTCTCGGCGGGAGCCAGCCTTGGAGGGGACGCGTCATCGATGCGGAGGAAGCGGGCGCAGACCTCCGAAGCTTTCAACAGAAATCTTCGGCGTCCGGGGCCGTTTGTGCGCCCCGAGACTGCAGAACACGACCTTTGGACCAGAAGCCGCCCCCAGGGGTCGAGTTCCAGGGGCCCGACGTATCCCTAGACTTCTATGAGTTTACATTCAATGTTGTCGTTGTGTAATTGTTCTTCGTATTAGTAATGTTATTTTTATTATTTGTATTATTATTAGTAGTATTATTATCATTATTATTAGTGTTGTTGTTGTTGTTATTAGTGCTACTATTATCATTAATACCATTATTATTCGTATCGTCAGTCTTATTCATATTCTTCGTATTAGCAGTATGCACTCCTCTTACTCGTATTAGTATTATAATAAGTATTATAACTATTAGTAGTAGTGTTAATATGATTGTTGTTCCTCCCTCTGGTTCCTGGATCCTCCTCCTCCTCCTCCTCTTCCTCCTTCTCCTCCTCATCCTCGTCCTCCTCCTCCTCCTCTTCCTCCTTGTCCTTCTCCTCCACCTCTTATTCCCTCCTCTTCTGTGAACACGCACTTCTCACCAGGTCGTACGGCGATGCGCCTCTGTCTGCAAAACGTGTGTGTTCGTGTCAGAAGGCAATGGACCACTGCTGCACCGACTGCGGCCCTGATGGTTGCTGCGTTTTCAATTGACTGTTGTGCGGCCAGCAATAGCCACTATAAACCTAGATTTGCACGTTATAGTTGCATATACAAACATGGCGAACGCACACACACACACACACACACACACACACACACACACACACACACACACACACACACACACGCACGTATGTATATATCTATATACAGATATATATATATGTGTGTTTGTATATATATACACACGCATACATGCAGATGTGTGTCACAGTGGTTCCTTGCCGTATGACCTGAAGCTGATGTACTGCTGAGTGGCTTCCATCTGGACGCGCACACCGCCTTCCAGCCGACAAATCTAGAACAGCTCCTGTCATGCCTCCTCCTCCTCCTCCTCCTCCTCCTCCTCCTCCTCCTCCTCCTCCTCCTTCTCCTGGTCCTCCTGGTCCTCCATATCCTCCTCATCCTCCTCCTCCTCCTCCTCCTCCTCCTCCCTGCCTGCCGCGGCCGGCCGCCGGGAGAAGCCGAGCGGCGCGAGCAGAAGGGCCCGCTTCGGAGCATGGGGTTGCGCCGAGGAGGACCTCGGAAGGGGGGCGCGGGGCCCTGCAGCACCAGCAGGTACAGCGGCCCCGCCCAGGCGTCGGCCAGGAGGATCAGCCTCGGGGAGGAGGAGGAGGAGGAGGAGGAGGAGGAGGAGGAGGAGGAGGAGGAGGAGGAGGAGGAGGAGGAGAAGGAGGAGGAGGGAGGAGGAGCAGCGCGCGAGGCGGAGCGCGCGCTGTAGTCGTGCGCGCGCTCCGCGAGGGAGCCAATCCCCGTGCGAAGAAGGGCCCGGGCACGGCGTGGAGGCCGTGGCCTCAAGAAATTGCGGGGGGGGGAGGAGCCCCATCGCTTGGCATCTGGGGGGGAGGGGGGCAACGGCGAGGGGAACAGGATGGCTCCAGACGTCCCAACGGTTCGAGGCAACTCCTGGGAAGCCGTCGTTAGAGCGACTGAAGACGATGAAGCCCGATTAAGGGGCCACGGAACCGGGCTTGGCCGGAGTAGGGCCGGGATCAAGCCAGATTATAACCGAGACCAACGCGCCGGATGAGACGGGATTCAGCCAGATTCGGCCAGCTTTCGACCAGAGATCTACCGGCGCCAAGTCTGAATTCACCTCCCAGGAGTTACATCCTAACCAACGTTTGAAGCGTGCAATGTGGAGGTGTCTCGACGGCTGCGGCCTCTCCCCGGGGGCCCTCGCCGGCCCAGGGGGGCCGCCATGAGAAACGGCTCGGGATGCAGAGCCAGCCCCGGGGGAAAAGGTCGGACCTGGATCTAGGGACCCCCTAACCGTTAGGTCGGGCATGACCTCCTGCAGGCGGATCTTGGAAGGAAAACGAACAATAGTCAGCGACAAAATTCAAAAAGAGTCCAAACAGTAGAGAAAAGCGTCCCCATACCATGTCTTGACTGCTCTTGGGTCTTCCTCCCGTAGATGGACAAGCCCGACTTGAAACTGTACCTCTGGCGCGGGTCCAAGAAATCCGCGCGGAGCGCCAAACATTCACGTTCATGCCGTTTTTTTTTCTTCTTCGGACATCGGATACGCCGGATGTTTGAAATGCTTAATCGGTGATTTCCGAAACCGACTTATTACGTCTCTCGCGCTTGGTGTTTGTTCTTTCCTTCTGTTTCTTTTTCTTTTATGTCTCTATTGTGTTTGTTTCTTCCTCTTTTCTTCCCTGTTTCTTCTTCTTCTTTTTTCTTCTCTCCAGGGCGGGGATCGAGGCCTCGAGCTGCAAGCTGCTGCCCGGGCCCTTTCGTGCGGGGGGCATGCCTCAGTGGCGCACACGCGTCGCCTCGGGGGCGGGCCCCGCCCCGGGGGGAGTGCCGGCCAGAGCGCGGTGCCCAGGAGAGGCCCGGGGCCCATGCGGAATCAGGAGGGCCCAGGCTTAGGTCGGGCCTGTCCTCCCACAGGCGGATTTGGAACGAAAATCAAGAATAGTCAAACAACGCTCAAAAATAGAAAAAACAAACAAAACAAAAAAAACGATAATCGGAAAATCGTTCCCAGACGACTTTTTCATGCTTTTGGATATTCCTCCTGTGGAGGGACATGCCCGACCTGAGCCCAGGCCAACTCGCCGATGCAGCGGCGAGGCGACGCAGTCCTCCGACCCATCTGCTCGGGCACCCTCCTGGAAGGCCTGGGCCGAAGGCGAGGCGAGCAGGAGGCTCGAGGCAGGGGGGCCGAGGATCGAGGCTCCTGCGTGCTGCTGGCCCTCTGGGCGGGGGCGGCACCGAAGGGGCCCTGGGACACACAAATAAATACACACACACACACAAATAACAGGACTCCCTATATTTTCCCATACTTTCTTGGGTTTTGTCTTCCCCCCCACTTTCCATATTTTCCCATATTTTCTGGGGAGTCGACGATTAATTGTGTCTGTGTGCTTCTTTCCCTCCTGAGGCATGCCGGGGCGCCCCGGCCGCCAACCCGGCAGAGGTCCAAGGCCGATGCTGCAGGGGAGGGCCGAGACCTTCGACGTCGTGGAAGAACCGAGACGGCCGGCTGCGTCAGAGCCTGGGCCTCAGGGAGCCCGCCCTTGGCCCTAAAAGGGACGAAAACAACATCGGGAGTCCTGCGGCCGGACATGAGATATAGCAGCATCGGGGGGGCTGCTGGCCCGGCGGCACCCAGAATCAGGCCGAGAGGGTTCCCAGAGGCCTCCGAGATAGTCCGACGAGAGGGTTCCCAAAGGCCTCCGAGATAGTCCGACAGGGCCCCAAGACGGCCAATGTGCTGGACATCGGAGGCTCCGCCAGAAAATCCAAGCATACATCCTCCTCCGTCCAAATACGTCATCCTCTTCCACCCTCATCGTCAGCATCACCCTCCACCCTCATACATCCTTGTCCGTCCTCCTCTCCCCTCCTCTCTCCTTCCCCTCCTCCTCCTCCTCCTCCTCCTCCTCCTCCTCTTCTTCTTATTCTTCTTATTATTTTTCTTATTCTTCTTTTTCTTCTTCTTCTTATTCTTCTTCTTCTTATTATTATTATTCTTATTATTATTAGTATTCTTTTTCTTATTATTCTTATTCTTCTTCTTCTTATTATTCTTGTTATTCTTCTTATTATTCTTCTTATTCTTCTTCTTATTCTTCTTATTATTATTCTTCTTCTTCTTCTTGTTCTTCTTCTTATTATTATTATTATTATTATTCTTCTTCTTCTTCTTCCTCCTCCTCCTCCTCCTCCTCCTCCTCCTCCTCCTCCTCCTCCTCCTCCTCCTCCTCCTCTTCCTCCTCCTCCTCCTCCTCCTCCTCCTCCTCCTCCTCCTCATCATCATCATCATCATCATCATCATCATCATCATCATCATCATCATCATCATCATCATCATCATCATCATCATCATCATCATCATCATCATCATCATCATCATCATCATCATCATCATCGTCGTCATCGTCATCGTCATCATCGTCACAATCGTCACCATCGTCATCATCGTCACCATCATCATCATCATCATCATCAGCATCATCATCATCGTGATCATTATCATGGTCATCATCGTCATCATCAGCATCATCATCATCAGCAGCAGCATCAGCATCATCATCATCAGCAGCATCATCATCATCAGCATCATCATCATCCTCATCCTCATCCTCATCCTCATCCTCATCCTTATCATCCTCATCCTCATCCTCATCCTCATCCTCATCCTCATCCTCATCCTCCCTCCCTCCCTTCCTCCTCCCTCCCTCCCTCCCTCCCTCCCCCCCTCCCTCCCCTCTTCCCTCCCCCCCTTCGCCTCCCCTATCCACCTCCATCCTCCGTCCTCCATCAGCCTCCCCCTGCTCCCTCCCGCCGTCCTCCTCCACCTCCCTCTGGGATGGAGAGAAGGTGCACGGAGTGAGACGAGGGAATGAGAGGGGCAGGGCAAGGGGATGGTCGGGGGAGCGAGGGCGGCAGGGGGGGGGGGGGGGGGGCGAACACCTGCTGCCTCCGCTGTCGCGTTCTCCTGGAAGCGCCGACGTGTCGGCGCACCCAGAGGCCGGAGCACGGAGAGCACGGCCGGGAGCTCTCTCCCTGGCGCGTCACGAAGGCGGACGGCCCCGACGAGACGCTGGGCCCTGCAGGCGGCCGGCGTGTCGCTCTGCCCCGCGGGGAACGATGAGGCCGGGAAGGGCTCGAGACGCCTGATGCTTGAGGGCCGTGCGTTCTCGGCGTGGTAGCGCCGAGAGCTGGCGGGCCCGAACCGACGGCGCGACGCGCTGTGTGAGCAAAGGCTGCTGGCCGCAAGTTACGTTGGTTCTATATGTATATATATATACATACATACATGCATGCATGCATGCATGCATGCATACATACATACATGCATGCATACATACATGCATGCACGAATGCATACATGCATCCATACATACATTCATACATACATACATACATACATACATACAGACATACATACATACATACATGCATACATACACACATACATACATACATACATACATACATACATACATACATACATACATGCATGCATGCATGCATGCATGCATACATACATACATACATACATACATACATACACACATGTGTACATACATACATACATACATACATACATACATACATACATAAATACACATATACATAAATACATACATATATGCATACATACATACATACATACATACATACACATACATACATACATACATACATACATACATACATGCATAAGGACCTACCTACCTGTCTACCTACCTACATACATACATACATACATGCGTATATACATACATGCATGCATACATGCAAACATGCGTACATACATACATGCATACATGCATATCTGCATGCATACAGATATACATACATATACACACGTATACATACATGTGTGCCTACCCACATACTAACATACATGCATCCATTAATGCATACATACATACGTATCCACGTATATACATGTGTATATATAGAGATAGAGATACCCGATGGATGTTCCTCGTACTCATAGTTCTCCCCTTTCTCCTCGTGCCCCTCGCCATTGCAGTACTCCCGATGCCAGCGTACAGCACTCGGCCGAATAAGCTTGTGAGCGGTCAGGAAGAGACAGAGAGCAGCGCGATGAAGATCATCCGCCTCCCATTAGCTTCTCCTCCTCCTCCTCCTCCTCCTCCTCCTTCCCCTCCACCTCCTCCTCCATCTGCTTCTCCTACTCCTCCTCCCGAGGGCGGGTTGTGCCATTCATCTGTAGCCCGTGAGCGAGGGCGTCCACTGCGACTCCTCTCCTCCGTACCACGATACCCCCATCCCTCTTCTCGTATCTCCTCCTCCTCCTCATCATCATCATCATCACCATCATCAGCATCATCATCATCGTCAGCATCATCCTCCTCCTCTCCCTCCCTCAACCTCCTCCTCACCCTCCCCACGATCAGCATAAATCGCTTATTCCACTTTCATGTCCGCCTCCTCCTAATGATGGCCATCCTCTTATCAGTTTATCATCAGCATCATCACCACCACCATCATCATCAGCAGCCCCACCACCACCACCATCGGCATCATCAGCACCATCAGTACCACCATCATCAGCATCGACGTTGACATCCTCCTCATCACCAACACCATCTATCACACTCATAGTCATCACACCATCGACAACATCATCATCAGCATCAGCATCATCATCATCAGCAGCAGCAGCAGCAGGATCACCGCCAGCATCGTCATCACAATCATCATCAACACCATCCTCGCCGTCGTCAGCATCAGCACCGTCATAAGCTGCATTACCATCGCCAGCATCACCGGTATAATGATCGTTAGTGTCGTCGTTGACGTCGTGGACGCCATCAACTGCAAAGTCAGCATCGTCAGCATCGCCATCATCACCGCCACAAACATCACCATTATACGCATTACCCTCAGCATCCTGATCATCAGCTGCATCATCAACATCATAAGTACCGTCATCATTATCAACATCGCCATCAGCATCATGCCCATGAGTTGCATCAGCATGGCCATAGTTACAAGTATCACAAGCGTCATCATCACTATTTGAATCGTCATCATCAGCTTCGCCCTGTAAACATTCAATACCAGCATTACATCATCATCAGCAGCATCATAATCATCGTCGTCAGCATCGTCGACATCACCGTCGTCGTCTTCATCGACGGCGTTGTCAATGACCCCCTCCTCCTTATCATGCTCCGCCTTGTTGATTCCCGCTTCTACTCCTCCTCTTCGTCCGATCGTTTTCCCCGTCCCCACCCGCATAGTCGTCCCCCCTCCCCGTCCTTTGCCACGTCCCCGAATCTTTCCTCCAAGTCATCCTGCTCCTCCTCCTCCTCCTCCTCCTCCTCCTCCTCCTCCTCCTCATGTTCCCCAAAATGTCCGCATCCTCCTCCCCAACACGCTCCGCACGATCCGTCTACTCGACCATCCCCGCCCTCCTACTGGGGACGCCTCATCCTCCCCACCATCTGCCTTGCCCGTCGTATCATCATCACGCCCCATGTTAGGTGATTCCGCCTCCTCCGCCTCATCACCCTCCTCCATCTCCTTCTCGCGGTCCTCCTCAACTCCGCCGCGTCCGATCTTGCTCGTCATTATCGTCGTCATCATCATCATCATCACCATCATCATCGGCAACAGCATCTTCATCATCATCATCATCAACAGCAACATCAGCAGCAGCATCCGCATCACCATCAGCATCAGCGTCAGCATCGTCGGCATCATCACAACCATCATCAGCATCATCAGCATCATCATCGTTATCACCATCATCATCCTCAGCATCATCATCATCGTCATCATCATCATTATCATCATCACCATCGTCATCATCAGAGTTCTAATCCTCCTGTTCCTCCTCCCCATCACCATCATCATCATCAGCATCAGCAACAGCAACAGCAACATTAGCATTACCAATGCCATCCACCATCGAATCACACCCCCCACCACTAACGCTAACATCACAATCATGATCAGCATCAGCATCAGCAGCATCATCAACAGCATCATCAGCATCATCATCCTCAGCGTCAGCATCCTACTTAGAATCAGCATCGTTATCATCAGCATCATCATCATCAGCAGCATCATGACCATCAACATCATCATCGTTATCGGCATCCGCACCATCCGCATTATCATCGTACTCGCCATCGGCATCACCACCAGCATCATTGCCATCAGCATCAACACCATTGTCATCATTGTCGTCATCGTCAGGGTCATCGGCATCCGCATCATCATCAGTATCATCATCGATATCATCCTCACCATCATAATGATTACCATCAACATCAGCATCAGCATCATCATCCTCGCCAACGGCATCACATCGCTATCGATAACACCGTCGTCACCATCATCAGCAACATTATCATTCTCTGTTCATCGACATCATGGTCTGCCTCATCATCATCATCGTCAGCAGCATCATCATCATGATCAGCCTTTCCATCGTCTTCACAGTCCCCGAGCTCATCCTCATCCGCGTACGCATCATCAGCATCATCAACATAATCATCAACAGCATCAGCATCATCATCGGCATCACCATAATGATCGTGCTCTTGAAGCTGACACACATCAGCATCATCATCAGCATAATGACCAATATCTTCAGCACCATCATCGTATTGAAAAATCACCATCATCATCACTACCATCATCGTCGCCCTCGTTTGCATAATCATCAGTACCATCACCATCAGCATCATCAGCAGCAGCATTAGCATCTACAACATTATCATCATCGTCGTCGCAAGCATCATCAGCATCATCACCACCACCATCATCATCGTTATCATCATCACCATCACCATCGTCATCAACATCATGCTCTCCATCATCGCCACACCCACCATCATTATTATCATCAGCAGCAGCAGCAGCAACAGCATCATGGCTCTCATCAGCATCAGCATCAGCACCACCATCAGCAGCATCATCACCATCACAATCTCCATCATCATCACCAACAACAGCAATTCGCCGGCCCAACGGGCCAGAGGCGTGCTAAGATCTCCGGTAACTACTTACCAATATTTCTAGTTCGCGCGCGCGGGGCGGCCCCTGGGGGGCCCCGGACGAAAAGTACCCCGGCCGATCCCCCGCTGATCCCCGGGCGATCCCCAGGGGGGAGGCTATTTTTCGCCACCCCTCACGAGGATCGTGGCCTCCGAGGGGGGGGGGCTGCCAACGACTACCCCCCCTCCCGCCCCAAGGGGCCCCCAAGAGCTCCCCTAGAGGCCCCAGGGGAGCCCAATACGCCGCCAAGGAGCCCCAAGACGCTCCCAAGAAGCCCCCAAGAAGCCCCCACGACGGCCCCAAGAGGCCCCAAATAGCGCTCCAGGGCCGGCGGAATGAGCGAAGCGATTAAATAACATCAACATCACCGTCACCATCGTACCTCTTCCCAAGCGTCCCCCTTCCCCCAAGAGGCCTCTGCAGCAGGAAGATAACGTCCGCCACCCGCGGGGCGACCACAAGCAGGGCGTCGTCCCGGCGCAGCCGCAAGTGGGAACAGGCGCAGAAGCCACTGGCCCCCGACGCAGGGGCGCATGGTGCGCTCTGCCAAGTGTTTGCCCCTCGATTAGGAGGCGAGTCCTTGGAGGTCTTCGTGAGAACGATGAGGGGCGATTTGACCCGATGGAGGGACCGTGAGGCGGAATGAGTCCAGATGCAGCCCAGGACAGAGCCATACAAGGCCAGAGAAAGCAAGATCGGGCGGAATTCACGCGACATTGACGGATTAGGCCGGTTGTCGACCACGGATACAGTCGGGCCGCTGAAAGAAGGAACGCTAAACAAGGAACGAAGCCCCTTCTTGGCCCTGTAAGCGCCTCCGTGCCCCAGGAGGGCAAGAGGAACAGCACTGGAGGAAGCTAAGAAACATCGAGCCCCTTCCGAACCCAAACTGTTCCTCATTTCAGCGTCTTGACTGTATACCAGCGATGATGCCGGTTTCAACCTCCCAGGAGTTGCATCCTTCCTCGATGCTCAAACCATCATCATCATCAATCATCATCATCATCATCATCATCATCATCATCATCATCATCATCATCATCATCATCATCATCATCATCATCATTCCATCATCACATCATCATCATCATCATCCATCATCGGTTCCTCTGTCCTCCCCCCCCCCTCCCCTCCTCCTTCTCCTTCTCCTCCCTCCCTCTCCTCCTCCTCCTCCTCTCAATCCTCCTCCCTCCTCACCTCCCTCCTCCCCCCCTCCTCTTGCTCCATCCACCCTCCTCCTAGTCCTTCTCCTTTTCCAACTCCTCCCCGTTTCATCATCATCATCATCATCATCATCATCATCATCATCATCCATCATCTTCATCATCATCATCATCATCATCATCATCATCATCATCATCATCATCATCATCATCATCATCATCATCATCATCATCATCATCATCATCATCATCATCATCATCATCATCATCATCATCGCCCTCCGCCTCCCCCTCCTTCTCTTCCTCCTCCTCCCTCCCCTCCTCCTCCTCCTCTTCCTGCTCCTCCCCCTCCTCCTCCTCCTCCTTCTCCTCCTCCTCCTCCTCCTCCTCCTCCTCCTCCTCCTCCTCTTCCCCCTCTTCCTCCTCCTCCTCCTCCTCCTTCTCCTCCTCCTCCTCCTCCGACCCTTCACCTCTCCCGCTCCTCTCCGGCAGAAAACATGGTACGGGCGTGCTGCTGCGAGGCGCCGTCGATAAGGCACCGACCATGGGAGGCACGTGGGCGACCTCAAGGCGGGGAGGGGCGGGGGGGGAGCAGAGGCAGAAGAGAACGGGGAGGAGAGACAGAGAGGGAGGGCAAGGAGAAAACGGGGGAGAGGAGGAAGGGGGAGGGCAGGGGGAGGGAGAGGAAGAAGGGGGGAGGGCGGATGGAAGAGGAACGAAGGGGCAGGAGGAGGAGGGGGAAGAAGGGAGGGTAGGATGCAGGAGGGGGGCGGGAGGAAGAGGATGAGGGAGAAGAACGAGACGACCAAAATGGGCCGGATGGAGGGGGAAGGCGAGAGGGGGGAGGGGAGGGAGGACAAGGAGGGGGGAGATGGAGGAGGAGGGCGACGATGACGACGAGGAAATGGATGGAGGACGGGGAGGACACGATGAAGGAGGAACGCGGCTGTGGGAGCAGGAGGAACAGGAGGATCAAGGAGGAGAGGGGGAGGGGAAGGGGGGTAGACGGAGGGAGAACGCGCCAGGAGGAAAGCGAGGATTATGCTCGGTTGCGCTGCTCATGAACTCCGTGGATGGATGTCACTACGAGGGCCTGCCCGCCTGATGCACCACGTATTGCGACATGGAGGCGTGTGCATGGAACATAAACAACATGAAACGACATGTTCTACACCTCGGAAGCGTCAGCTGTGCGAGAGCGCGCGTGCGCACACTTGAACGGCAAACCACTTGCCCCGTCTGGACGTCAGGCGGCACGGCAGGCAACGAAAGACAGATGCCATGTGCGCGCAGCCTGCCACGAAACTTGGTCCATAATGTGTAAATAAAACAAGCAGCCTGCCATGAAACTGTGACACCCCAGCTGAATGTCGAACCGTCGGGCGGCGCCACGTCCACTGGCGAACCGTTGCTGCAACACTGGGTTATATTGGTATAGCCGGACGGCACTGGGTGTTGAGACGTGCCCTACCACATGTTGAGAAAAGCAAGACCAGCCACTGCACCTGCTTCCCCAAGGATCCCAGAGTGGGCGGCACAACAGAGTGCCGGAAGGAGGCGCGCCACATCGACATCCTGAAGTACCTTCGATCGGAGATCGCAGTGGGGCGCGCAAGACGGAGGCATGTGCCTTGCTTGCCCCGCAGGGCCTGGGCCAGACCTGCCTTCCCCGCAGGTAGGGGGACACGTGCGAACTCTACCCAATACCCCCTCAGAAACCGCGGGGGTAGGGGTAGGGTTCGCACGTGGCCCCCTAGCAGGCGCAACCGCCCCCCCCCCCCCCGTCCCGCCCGCACGGCTGCTTGGCACGCGGTGGCCCGCCGCTGACTGGGCACAAAGCGCACGCGGCTGCAGGTGACCAGGCCCGCGCTGCGCGGCCAGAGCTCCACCGTGGTGCGCGCGTCTGCCCCGTCGATCGCAGGTCGCCGGGCTTCCTCGTCACTCGTCATGAGCGTGCGCGCCCCGTTTCGGGCGCCCGTTCACCCACCGCTGCACTCCCAGCGCTTCCAGCAACCAGGCGGTGTCCAGGCGCCCCTTTTGTCTCTTTCACGACAGCCGATCGGCAGTGCCATCCCCAAGCTAACCCGAAAGGCGAGCCCCAGCGGCGCGGCCCCCTCGCCCCGAGAGGAATGGCTGAGGAGGAAGCGGAGGAAGAGGAAAAGGAGGAGGATGAGGAAGATGATCGCTGCGGCTCTTGAAGCTGCAGCCCAGCCCAGCCTTGGGTCTCGACTGGTCGAGAGGAGGAGGGGGGAAGAGGTGGAGGAGGGCGGGAAGAGGAGGAGGAGGAGGGGGAAGGTGAGAAGGAAGACCAATGTAAAACCAAGGCGCGTGAGCCATGTTACAAAAAAACATCCCTCCAAATTCCCCCTTCAGAGGTCCATGCAAGAGCTAGTTGTCATGGCTGGAAGTGCTCCGTTGGAAGGCAACCGTCTGAGAATCCTCAACCGCGCCAAACTTCCATTCCTGGGACTTCGACGCCGCGAATCAACTGGACTGTCGCGTCCTGACAATCCTAAACCGTGCCAAGGCACCAGACCTGGGACTTCAATACTGCGAATCAACGTGACTGTTGCGTCCTGACAACCACAAATCCGTGCCAGGGCAAAACGCACGTGACCCTGCAGACTCCTCAGACGTCCTGGCATCTCAGCGAGTTGCATCTTGACAAGCTGCAGACTGCTCAAGCGAACGTGCGCGGCGCCGAGGCGAGAGCCACCTTCCGGAACGGAACCGCATTCCATCCTCGAAGCTGTCGCGCACTGCGCAATGTCTGAAAGCTATCATCCCCACCCACCCCCCGCCCATGAACCGCATACGGATAATCAAACCAAGCAGATTACTTGCACATCTCCAGGGACCATGATTTTAAAACACAAAACCACATGACAATGCTAGCACATCAAAAAACACTAACACGTGGAACATGTTCCGTCAAGGGCCATAACTCGGGCGCGCGGGTCGGGTCTCGCGGGCAGACCCTAACGGGCGGGATGAAGAAGATGAAGGGGGTCCAGGGAAATGCGTAAGAGGAAGCCGATGGTGAGTATGAGGAGAAAGAGAAGAGGGAGGAATAGACGGAGAGGGGGAGGAGGAGGAGGAGGAGGAGGAGGAGGAGGAGGAGGAGGAGGAGGAGGAGGGAGAGAAAGGAGGATGGAGGATCGCAGAGAAGAAGGAGGGAGCAAGGAGAAGGGAGGAGGAGGATCGGCAGTCAATACCTGAGTTGTCGATAGACGATAGCCGAGCTTGTCGACTGCCGTCGTACCCCAGCACAGCTAGACACATGGTACGCAGTGCCAATACAGCAAGACGACGTACCAGCAACTGACATGCAACAAGCTGCTCTGAGAAGCGGCTGAAGCTGCAGGCGGGGCTGATCTACTGCGTGCTGCCCTCCAGAGGCGCTGCGCCTTGGAGGCGTGCGGCGGCGGAGCGGCACGACCTCTGGCACTGCCCCGTGGCGGCGCTGTGGGAGAGGTGCGGGGGAGGCGACGCCCGGAGGAAGCGGCTCATCGTCGTCCTCGGCCTCCTCGCCTCTGGCTCGGCGCAGGGGTGCGCGCGGCGCCTCGCAAACGAGTGCGCGACAGGGCCTGCGGAGAGCAGGAACGGTGAGTGCTCGTCGGTCACGCAGCAGTGCTCAGCCGCCGCGCCCGCCGGCATGGCACAAAAAAGGGCGAACGTCAGCGCGTCCTGGAACCGCCGCGTCAGAATGCTCGAGCACGGCAGGCTCTGCATCGTTCCCGAACTGTTGAAAACCGTCAGCGTGACGAACATCAGCACGTCAAAGAACCACTGCAGAAAGGCCCGTCAGCCCGTCCAGTCAAAAATACTATCATCTTGGCCTGGCTGTCAGTGGGAGACTGTCATCAGGCAGACCGCCAACGATTTTGCTTCCCGAAGCAGACCGTCAGCAGATCGTCAGGGAGCCACTGCAACGGGCGAGTCTGAATAAGCAGGCTCCGCATCGTGCAAACCACGAGTCCACGCGCCAGCCCCGACAGGAGGATCTCCGGCGGGATGCTCTGCCAGCGATGGGGGGGGGGCTTGAACGGCAAGAGGCGCCGCTGGATACGGAAACCCTTTCGCGCGAGCCTCGAGAGGTGAGTTGTGCTCCTGACGCGTGCCACGCAGCTGCTTTTGACACACGCCAACGGCTGACTCACGGAGTTGGCGTCCTCGTTGGCTTCCTCAAGGGTGCCCTGAGTTCGGTGGAGAAGAGCACTGTGTTTGTGCTTCTCCAGGCCCTTCTCGAAAAGGTGAAGAACGTCGATGACGATGAGGAGGCGTGAGGAGACAAGAGGCGTAAGGAGGGGGTCCGAAGGCGTGAGCACTCAAAGGGAGAAGAAGTGAGGATGAGCGCGAGATGAGCGAGGAGAGAGAGAGGAACGCATAGGAAGAGGAGGAGACCAGAGTCGCTGGCGTAGGGCGCGGGCAGAGTGGGGCATCGACGAAACGCCACAGCAGGCAGAAGGCGGTTTTGGTCTCCGTAAGTGCCTCCTCCTATGGTGTCACATTGATTATCCTCCTTGTCTTCCTTTAAAAAACTGGATCTCCTCTTCTGCAATGTGTTGGGCACATGGGTCACGGGTCCTGCCATGCTCTCGACAGAGCAGCGCCCGTCTTCCTCCTTGGCGTGCGATCGAGGAAGACCGCAACATCGAAGATCTGTCCCTGGACCTCCGACGACTCGACTTTGTCATGTCTCCTGTCCCTGGACATCTCGACTTCTTCCCTGGGACCAGCCTACACGCATGCTCGTTCGTGACGGTCCTTGTGCAGAGACCGGCCCCTGGAGGCCTAAAACATTGAACAAGCGTACCTCAATGTTTCCGAGCCTCCAGCAGCCCGCCGAAAGACCACCAGCAATCATGTCCAACAATCAAACGAGAACACACACACACACACACACACGCACACGCACACACGCACACGCGCACACGCGCACACGCGCACACTTTTTGTTGTCGCAGCGCGGCAGAGGCAGACCGCACGCGCGCTCAGGCAAGCTGGGTGACGGCATTGCGAAGCTTCCGGATGCAAGAGGGGAAAACGTGGAAGAGAGGAGCGGCCGCGAGAGGAGAGGAAAGAACCGAACACACACACACACACACACACACACACAAGTCAATGAAGAAAGAAACTTGGCACCTCCCTCGCATCCCAGTCCCCCGCCTCCCCTTCTGGGAGCTTCCGCACGCAGCTGTCGGCCGTCCCCAATGACCCGCCTTTCGTCGGACCCGCCTTTCGTCGCGTCTGCGCTTCTGCTGGTTCCGAGGGCCAGATTACGGTTCCCACGAGAAGACTACGCCCTTAACCATAACCTGACGAGAATAATCCCAGGGATAATAAAGTTCGGGGTCCAGGCGGGATGATACACTTTTTCCAGAGACGTCGATATTAGGATGTGTGGATCGCGATTCGCATGCGACACCCTCACAATCAGAGCTACGATAGGAACTTCAGAGGGGATAGTAAAAGTTTGGCCTCCCCGCCTGCTCTGGCAATTTAACCACAGTCAATCCCGTGGATAAAGAGAAACAAGGGGAAAGGGGGAACACTTTATCAT